CGCTACAAGAACAGCAGCGATAGGCAATTTTCATGCAACAGCACTTGCTTGGCCGTGTGGGCTTGTAGCAGGTTACTTGTGTTTTGAACGTTGTCTCTCCTGCAAATTAAGAATCTTGGATAGCCACCTATGCCCCAATGCTGTGATGCCTAATGTTACATAGCGCGGCGGCCTGTCCTGTGTTAAATTGTGTAACATTGTCTTAGGCCAGCGGCATGGCTAGAGCTACCTCACTCTCTCCTCCTCCCTCCGGTTGGTCTTGATAATAAGCATTGTCTGAAGGAACGATCTTCATGATACAGACAGAGAGCAGTGCTCTGATCAAGCTCGCGTGCCCAAGCTAGACGCTTTGTGCGTTTGGCCATTTTTCTTGCCTATTTTTTTTCATGCTGTTCTCTCATCCCCGTTGGCTATACAGCTGCGCAGGTCAAGATGTCCAGTGCTTTCTGCATTCTGAAGGTGTAGTCGTGCTATAGTCCGCATAGACATAGATATACTAAGGGGGCTTTCACATACGAGACACGTTTCCCTCTCCTATACGCTCCTTCCCTGAAGCGCATACTCCATCCCTCTCCCTCCCTCCTCCTCCTTTATGTGGTTTCTCACCTGTTATCTTGAAACCATTACGAATCTCGGACTTTAAACCGTAAAAGAATTTGACTGAAGAAGACAAGTTACCATATTTCCACACGCACCGCGTGCGCTCTAGGATGAGCTCACACACGCTCCTTGCAGTCCCTTATACGCCTAATCTAGACGAGCTTATTCATGTTTTTTTGATGTGTATAGAATGTTGGGAGGAGGGGCAGGGCGGAAATTGTGCAAAGCAACCTTCACACATCCTTTTGGAAGGGCCACAAATTAACAGGGCGTAGGAGGCTGGCGCCAGCTGATGGGGCTGCCTGAGGGTCAGATCATGTGGGATTGTTCAGAGCCGAAGAGAGAACGCAAAAGAGAGGATAGATAGTAGAGAGGGGACAGACAACATAAAGATGGAATGAGCTACGAGGATAGCAACTAGGGAATGTACTGGTAGAATAATGGCGAGCCACCGAGGATCTGGTGCGGTGTTGTGCTTGGGCTCTCATGACAGTATGTGTACTCAAGATCAGACAGATAAGAACAGCTGCATAGGGGAGGGACGTGATAAAAAATCGACAAGATAATTTAGAAATGCTACATTTATGCTGCAGATCTGGAACTGGGGCAGTGGGGAAAGGAAAGAACTGACAACCTAGATGCTCAGTTCTACTGTGTGCTAGAGAGTAAACATGGAACCTTGTACGCTATGTAGTCCTCTTGCATCACCCTTTGGTGGGGTGATTTTATATGCCAAGAAACATGGGCTTATCGGAGCGCGTAGAAGCAAATCTCTCCTCCGCTCACCCGGACTCACCTCTCTGCACACTGCTTTCGGGCTTATTTGTTTTTTTTATTGACATATAAGCACTATGCTCTCCAAATAATTCAATCGCTTACAGTTCGTTTTATCTATTCTCCTGGTGGTGATTTTGCTAGGAAGCAATGACAAACATAACCATCTAGGAGAGGGATTAATGAAAGGTGTGTTTAATCGCGTATACAAAACACTTAAAACCACTAATTTCATATTCGAGTCAGATATGAATTGTATCTATAGATGAGTGTATAGGTATTGAACGTATATTGGGAACCATATGTAGTACTTTGTATTCCATTAACTTTTCAAATATTGAATTTCTTCAAACTAAAACACCTCAAGGCAGCTCGGATTGCACGATAAACTTCCACAAACAGCTCTATGATGCTCGACATGCGTCCAAAGGAAATATCGTCAAGTTCATACACACAGTCAGCACATCTGAGTTGTGAAACTGGGACCTGTGAGAAGTTGCGGATAAGAGGTAACACTTTTCAGTGCCAACATACGCCTCTAGAATTGCTAAATCTGGTGGCGCCGCCGCATGACCCGGACGACAAGCCATTCGCACTGACTGGCCTCAGGGAAATGGAGCACAGCTGTTACGCAGTGAGGCCGGTTAAGCGCCAACTTCAGGCTATGTAAAGGCCACCTCTAAAAATTACGGGAAAGGCAGTTTGTCGGCCCAGTAAAATGGGTTTTTTTTTTTTTTTTTCCCCATCCATGTGATTGACATTTAATAAGTTACCAAGACAATTAACTGCGGGTGTTTAGGAACCTTGGCTGCCGTCCACAGACAACTAGAGGCCCAGGGTATAACGATTTCTAGCGATTCTGATTGCATATGGCCGCTGATGTAGGATGAGTTAGGGTCTGCGCTAAGCAAACTCTTAGGATTGGATTAAAGAATGAGCCTTTTCCAGTCAGTTAAGAATATGTGGGGGATAAAGGGAGAACATTTTCTACACGGCGTGCAACTAATGGAAAGCAATCTCTCCCCACAAACTCATGGGGTGAGAAAACGGGAGAAGAATCACTACTCGCGTTACTGTTGTTATCTGATGCTTCTTTTAGCGGGTCAGTGAGCGCAGCCATTTAGGAACGAGTAAGACCTGTATAAACCACTTACATAGAATTTATCTGTCATCCAACAAGAGGCAAACAAGCCTTACAACAAATAGGTCTTAGACACTTCCCAGTCCTTAACAAACAATGCTGCATATCATCTGAATGCCTCAATAGGATAAAGCACTACTCCGAGTCATTGTGAGATTGTGGGGCTCTTTTTCTTCGAGGGGAGCGCGCATGTGGCCTGAGGCTGTGGTAGGATAATAGTTTCCATGTATAAATGATCCATCTTTTTCTGCTATGTTTGCATTAATATCAATATTTTAACTCTGGGACCTGTGAATTATGACATACAGTAAACCTGTTAACTTGTGCTTATGAACCTGCCAATGACAATACAAGCTCTTGTGCAGGACAGCACAGATATTTCAATAGAGAATGAAATGAACATTCAACCAAGAGTGACAGTCTATTTGGCTCTGGTAGCCAGGATGGAGCAATATGTGCTCATAACGCTTCATCTATTACAGTACGCGCGAGCGAACTCTCGCTCTACATACTGTGGCCCCCCCCCCCCATTCCTGGAAGGCACACTGGATTCGTGCTGCTCATCCCACATTCATCATGCTCAAGCATGACACTGCTGCTTTTGTTGAGTAGGGCGCGCCTTTGCTGCAGGCACCCAGAGTGCCAGGCTGAGAAGTGGACTGGGTGGGCATGCGTGGAATGCAGATCAGGGTGAGAGGGGGCAGGGAGTGTCACAAACTGAATGAGGAGATTGAGGAGAGCGGGGCACGACCGGCCTGGCCTTCAGGCCCACTGCGATCGCTGCAGCATCTCAGAGGGCAGAGGGGCTTGTGCTCCTTCGTCATCAACACCCACTGGCCCTATGTGGACGATTCACTCAAGACGACCCCACCAACAGCACCACGGTGACCTCAGCCTTTGCCCACTGCAGATGTGGACAGTATTTCCCTATTTTGTGAGCATCTCTTCGGATTCATACACAGCTGTGGGAAGTGACACCCGAGGGCAACTCATCTACTATGTACAGACTAACTGCTCACTTGAAGCGGAACTAATCCTTCTAGAATATAAACTCTTTCATATGCCAAAACACACAGTAGCTAACCAACAGTAAGAAACCTCAACTGAATTCAATTATTGTTGCAAGATCACAAGTAAAAGGCTTAATTTGTTGTATTTTTACTTTAAAATACAGACCAATTCAAATACAGATCTTAGAATAAAGTGGAAGAAATATTTTGTGTATTGTGGAACAGTTCGTACAAACAAAGGCAAACAGTCACTTTTACATTAATAATTACACAGTCATCATATACCACATCCTGCATTTCAGCTTGAAATTATGCAGAGGTCAATGCACCTACATCACGGTGCATACAACTCACTCACAGAGCTCTCTAATGCACTTACAGGTTTTATGACATGTCAACCTGTAACACACTATCTCATGAAGTTAAATACATAATGTCAGTCTGACAAATACATCAACAGACGAGTCATTTTCTGGTCTTCTTCTTCTTTGATTTTTCAGCATCGTCGTGGGCCTTCCTCTTGGCTGCGAGCTTGTTAGCCTGGAAGAGGAGAATGAATGCAGTTAATGTCATTTCAGAGGTCAGTGAACTCCGGGGGGGGTCATCGCTGGGTTTCAGTGTACTCCATACAATACTGTTAAACATTCTCAGCCCGAGATACAATGCCTCATACAGAACATAAAGGATCCAATGTTAAATATGTAAGAATGTTATCTGTACACAGTCTTATCTATACGTGAATCCATATTTAATCAATAACAAAATGGAACAAACCTCTCGGACTTTTCTCTTCTTTCCAAACATGATCTTGTCGTAGAGGTACTTTTCCTTTTTCTTCATCATCATGATAGCCAGACGTTTCTCCTCTGCCTTCTCCTCCTCCTCCAAGCGGGCTGGGTTTTCCACCTTCACTTTGCCAGGTGTCACTTTGACTTGCAGAGACTAAAAAAAAGGAACGAGAGGAGAGTTGATTAAAGGCTCCACTAGTTTGTATGAACAGGAAAAGACGGACAGTAAAGGAAAGGGTTCCAAGTTTCTTACCTTGCCCTGGGATCTCTGCTCTTCCATCTTCTTAAGATTCTTCTCATCTGCCTCTTCTTCATCATCTTCCTCCTCTTCGTTGTCATCTTCCTCCTCTTCATCCTCACCCTCCTCCTCCTCCTCGTCTTCCTCTTCTTCCTGTCCATGGGCTACGATGGAGGTAAAATATATCAATGATATGTCCACGGTCTGAATTTAC